AAAAAAAAAAAAAAAAAAAAAAATAATAATAATAATAATAATAATATTGTGAGTTTTTATTATACTTAAGGCCTATTCTAACTGAAGATCTGTATCTGCAAATATACTGTCAAGCCATAGCTTCCCTCACAACTTAAATGCTCAGGCTTTATTCGTCAATACCTTTTTGATATCCAGCACAATGGTAATACAAAGTAAGCACCCAACAAACACACTTTGAGTGATGGATCAATATACCTGTTGAATCTGTCTTTTCAAATTTCTCCCAGAAATATCCATCTCTGTAGTTTTATGCCGATTGTGTGTTAAGCCAGTGAACCTCAGACATTTTTACCTGTCAACCATCTCTCTTTAGAATTTGTGCACATATATCTACACTTTAAAATAGCCACAGTTTAAATCTCGGTTTGTGTGTGTGTGTGTGTGTGTGTGTGTGTGTGTGAGGGAGAGGTACGTACCATGTGTGAGTGTGCTCATGTGTGTCTATAGTTTGATATGTATGTGTTATTTTGGGTGAGTAAAGTGGGATTCCATATGGAGGGAGTTACTGTACTTTGCACTAAAATGAGGTTTTAGACACATGAGGTTTAGAAAATGAGATTACATTATTTTTTTAGTTCCCCTTCCATAGTTTTAGTGAAATTAAATGGGTGTGTGTCTGTGTTTCTGCATGTGTGTGTTTGAAGTGAAGGTAGAGAGAGGTGTCCTAAAATTGTAGACATGTTACTCCTTTCATCTGTTCTTATCTTTCTTGTTTTCCTACCTTGCCTCATTCCATTTTTTCCTCCCTTCCTCTCTCCCTCTCTTTTTCTTTTTCCTATTTTATTTATTTCTCTCTGTTTCCTTCTTTCCTTCCCTTTCCTCCTTTACAGGATCAAATTAAAGAATAATGCCATGCTTTCTACTTTAGTCAATGACTTTAGTCAATGGTGACTTTTATCACCATTTAATATAAAAAATGAGAAACAGACCTCTCAACCAATGAAATCCCAGTATAAGGTAGTATCCAAAGACAAGTAGGTATTGTGTTATATTAATATATTGAAGAAATGTGTCAATCCATCATGGGAGTGAAAACCAAATTATTCCACTCAACTAATATCCAAGCTTAAACTACTTTCAAAATATCACTTAAAAAAATCCAAGGAGTTGAGTTATAGGCTTTTGGAGAATGAATAGAGTGTTCAGAAAGTCTGATACTGCACCGTTTTATTGTTTAATATGTGTCTGGAACCAGTATGTGCTGAATTCTTTTAAAATGAGTTACACAGTTCATTCTCTTCCTACAGAAAGGACACTGTACATATTTAAACATTTTTCTTCATTTGGAGTGCTCAGAGGCACCATCACAAGTGGTGTATATTGTAATATGTTTTGACTGAGAGGTGCTGTCAGAGGCTATTGGGCTGTGCAGAGCTACTTCAGTCTCCACCCTGTGCCTTCTGGACTCGTGGTCTGCCTTTTAAAATCAGTTTTTCCATCTCTCTGAGGGTCAGACTGCCCCTGACCGTGTCTCATTGTGATATGCATATTTGCCTGTGGTTCTTACAGCTCCACCACACATCACACCATTTCAGATTCGCTGAATCTAATTTATTATGTAACAAACATATGGTCTTATTAAGTGTTTTTAAAAAATCAATAGAAAGTATGATATAAAAGCGGTCTCCAAAGGTTCTTTCTGTGTATTTCCACATTCCTATATAAATTTCAGAAATGTTTGGTTTCTGGAGAAGTGTTCTCTAGATAATTGTAGAATTCTGGTGAGGAACCCCCCTTTCTGGTTTGAATGTGAACTCTTCCTTCTAAACATGAAGAGACAATATTGCCCTTAGTTCTCAAGGTACATGGCTACCAATTCCGCTCTCCCATTTGTATCTGACCACTCGGTTCTTGTTTTGCAGTCCCCAGTCTGTCCCAGATCGTCTGAGGATCCGGGTGAACAAAATCGGTTTACAAGACTATGAAGGATTCCACTATGACAAAGAGAAACTCCGGGAAGCTTGTAAGTTGGAAGTGCCTAATTGATTTCATGCAATCAGCTTATCTTCAGCTTCTTGATCTTCCTGGGTTTGATGGGTAGATTCATTTGTCCTTGTGCCTGAAAAATCGTGGTTAGAGAAGTGAAGTGAAACATAGTAACATGTGAGCTCCAAGTGATAATGTATGGGCTACAGAAAAAGGAACTGGAAAAGGAAAACAGCCGAATAAAATCATTCAGCTGTGGATGCCAAGTCGGGATCTCTTGGCTTATTCACCACTTTAGTCTCAGATTTGCCTGAAATGAGGAAAGCCAAAAAATTGGTGATATCAGTGGTATAGCACCATCCAGGAAACTCTTGAGACAATGCAAGTCTCTTGTTGGAGACTGCGTTATCAAACACTTGCCTCATTCTTCACGTAGGTGTGGCAAACAGGCACATGCAGCACTTCTAGATATTATGCTATTATATGATGTCAGAGAAGGGCCCACAGGATATGGAACGTTGTGATGACAAAGTGATTCATTGATGATCAAGTGCCATTATTTTTGAAATGTGCCTTGAGTCAATATATGAATTACTTCTCAACGTTTGTATTTTCTGTATGCTTCTTTGAATACATAGCTAATTGCTAGTTCATCTCGCTAGTCAATCAGTATGTATTGGACACTTTTTACATTCTGGTACATTCTGGTCATTGTTTTAAATGTCTTATAATTTATGAGGTAATTGGTTAAAATAAGTCAGAAAAGTTAAGACCATGGGAATGTTAGATATTAGGGTTCTCGGCTCCTTCATAATTGTGGGGGCCAATAGTCAACTGCAGTAAAGTCAGAGAAGATAAGGAAAACTGGTGTCCAAGGGAATAGGCAATGATACTGATAGAAAGAAATGACTTTTATATAGAACCAAAGACTTATGAACCACGTCCCCAAATGATCTCTAAGTGTAGACCTGCCTACCTGTGTAAAAGAGGAAAATAGTTAAAACTGGCAGGAGTAATAGTAGGAAAGCCTTCTGAGCTCTGGTTTCTGAGAGTGATCTGAAGTAAGCTTTAGTGGACGGAAATTCTGAGGTCCAAGGATAATCCTAGGGGTGGGTACAGGGTGTTCTACAATCTAGAATTGGCACAAGACGAGGATCCATACCCCTGGTAGTCTAATCATTGACTCTACTAGAGAATTTGATGTGAATTTTCTTGCTTAATTCTGTCACCTGCTTCAGATTCCTCAATCCTTTACATTGTTTTCCTTAGACATCAATACCTTTTAGTTTCTCCCCAGCCTTTTTACTTCCATACTTTACTCTCATTTCCTTGGATAGGAAAGTCTGAGCTGGAGGAGGAGCAATTCCCCAAACCTCTTTATTTCTTTCTTCTGTAAACAGCATGTTCCATTTTCTAATATAAATGAGCTTATAAGTGATAGACTAGCATATAATCTAATTTGACCCCTAAAGTAATGGATGTATATTTTTTTGATGGGGAGTATAACTACAATGTAAATTAAATTGACTTCTAATGGTTACTTATCATAAAGAAGAGTGTTTTATGCTCTTTCTTGGTTTAAGTTCCCAAGCAAATAGCTAACAGTTCTTAAAAGAAGATAACAGATATCAAGTAATATTTTGCAGCTTACCATCAACTCCGAAGAAATTCTGTTTGGAGTGGGGACACATTTGAAATTTTTAGCTGAAATGAGATTTGAAGCTTATCTGTAGCTTTCAATTATCTGTTCTATCTTTTCCGTGGCATTATCTGTCCACCATTGCTGGAGGTAATTGTGATTTGAGCTTTTCCAAGAAGATGACATTTTCCAGCAAGTGCTTTACTCAGTGATAAAATTTCTATGTGAAGAAACTTCTTCAGTCAAATGGGGGGAAGCAATGGCATAAATGCAAACCAAATAAGTTCAAAAGAACTTAGAAATTCTCAAAAACGGGAAAAAGGAGTTATTCTAAAGATTTTAAAACTCATTCCAAAGATTTAGATTGGAAGAAAACAAAGGATGGGAAGTAAAAGTGACCAACTCAATCATTCTACTTTTAATATTTGGTGATGGTGCTTCTAACCTGGAAAAGTTTATCCTTTTAGATTCTGGATTCACTCCTACTAACCTTTGCTCTTTTGCCTGATTCCAACTTGAAATAGACTACAGATTCATGGAAGGCTGACATGGCTCAAACTGAGTATAAAGATAAAAACAAGTTTAAGTTCATCTATGAGGTGCATGCCAAAATAAATGTTGTTTCAGAAGCATTAATTACGTGAAGTTTGCACAACACATCTAGATAAAAGGGACTCTAGGAATGTACTCTGACCTACATCCCAGAACAAAGAGAGTGAATCCTCTTAGGTCATATTTATTGTCACCAAAGTCTGAGCTAGAGCAGTAGTGTGGTACTGCGTTTGAAGTTATTTCCCTTTCTTGATGGCGCACCAAGTGATATCTCCGGGCAGCACATGGTTCTTTGCCATCACTGTTTAGCAGAATCTTGTTTATTGTTCACATTAGATAATAAGCTCACATGTTTGTCATCTAACAAAGCCCATCTTCTGTCCATAATGCAGGGCTCCCTGGTAATTCAGCTCTTAAATTGCTTTGCTTATTTTAGCACAGAGAAAGATGACTCTACTCTTTCAGGTATTTCCCATCCCTCTTCCATTTAGCCCCATCTCACTGGGGGACAATCCTTCTAAAATAATATCCTGGAAAAAGACAATCCTTGTCAATGTGTCCCTCAGCTCTTTTTGGTAAATTTCAGACTTATGTAAGACACCAAAAGTCTTCCTCACTGTGTAGGATGTATCAACCCACAGATAATAGTTGCTTGTGGTTTGCAAGAGGGGACAGTCTATTCAACTTAAGAGGTACAACATAAAGAGAAAGTGGCCATATTAAAAAAAATTAAAGCAAATCTGTAATAATGATATCAGAAAATCAATCTCATAAACAGAATAAACTCTACAAGTGGGTCCATAATGGAGCTTATAATCCTATAATCTAGGCAAAAGATAATCTGTTTTTAAATATCTGTTATATGTCTAACCCCAGAAGAGATTCATTAACATATGATATATATTTTTAAAAATCTGGGATAACTTGATATTCTCCAAAATTTAACTCAATTCCTATGCAAACTGGTTAAACTTCACTTTGGGCATCAGTTTACCTGCACTTTTAAATGGCCATGATAATTTACACAAACCTAGTGTTTAAAATACAAGCAGTAAAAACCAGGTTGGAGCCAACTGAAAGCAGATGTACGTAAGGACAGGGAATTAACATTTGTTGTATATCAAATATAGTGTTTGACTATGCTTTTACATACATAACCTCGGTATAATTCAGTATTATCTAGATGTATATAACGTATAAGGTGTAATAGATCAATACATTGGTTAACACTAATGACACAAGGATTGTATCCTAACTAGGAATTTAGTTAAGCATTTGCCCTAATGGAATTTCCTTGTTTGGTGATTTAGTAGAAAAGTCAGAAATTTTGGTGTTTGAATCTCAGTTGCAACCTTGAGAAAGTCATTTAATTTCTCTGATGATCAAGTCTCTCATTTGTAAAATGAAGATATAATGATAACTCCATTCAGTGCTGAGGGTTAAATGTAATGCCATATATGGAACCCATGTTGTGAAGTCTGGCACATTAGCGTGCTCTCCGAAAATGGTAGCTATGATGCTTGTGGTTGTTGTGTTAAGGAGGGCCTGCTGCCACACTGCTCATCAGTCTGCAAGTCCACAAAGCCAGGCTCAAAGGAGATCATAGAGGCTGACTTCCTCTATATGGAACCCTTCCTGGCTTGAGGCAGCTCACTTCAAATGGCACACACCACCACCCTCCAGCTCACTTTCTTACTTTCAAAAATCGAATTGAAAATACTCATAAATATCACAGAAAGATTATGGGAAGAAAGTGTAACTAAATCATTCAATTTACTTTTATTGTGTCTACTCATATAAGCATCTGCTATAATGACAAGATACTTAAGTCCATGAAGCATGGAAATACTGCATGCCCATATAGGATGATCTGGATGTTTACCTGCAAATGTCCTTCCTCAAGTCCTAATACATTCTCTTAAGTGTGTCATCTGTTATCTACCACTGAATCTTTTTAAATAAATTTTTATTTTAGAATAATTTTAGATTTATAAAAAGTTACAAAGTTAATACAGGATATTCCTGTATATTCCTCCCCCAGTTTTTCTCATTATTAAACACTTTACATTACCATGGTGCATTTGTCAAAGAAACCAATATTGCTATATTACTATTAACTAAACTTTTAGGATTTCTATCCCAGGATCAAATCCAGGATACCATATTGCATTGAGTTGGCATGCCTTCCTAGTCTCTTTTGATCTGTAACCATTTCTGTGTTTCCCTGTTTTTTTTTTTTTGGTAACCTTAGTAGTTTTGGGGGGATTACTGCTTCCTGTAGAATATCCTCCATTCTGGCTTTGTCTGGTGTTTTACTCATAATTAGACTGAACTTATGGGCTTTTGGAAAGAATACTGTAGAGGTGAAGTATGCTTTTTCTCTCATCATGTCAAGACTTCTCTGATATCCACATGATATCCCTGGTGATGTTAACCTGATCATTTGGTAAAGGTGGTATTTGCCAAGTTTCTCCACCATAGAGTTACAATTTTTCTTCCTTCCATACCCTATTCTTGAGGAGTAAGTCACTAAGTCTAACCCACTTTCAAAAGGAGCAGAAGCCGTGGATCACTGGATTTTTAAAATTGTTTCCAGTTTGCATATTGGAGCTCAACCGAATTTGTTAACTATGCCAAAATGGTGGAGCCATTCAACCATTCATGCATTTATACTTTCAATAATTACATATTTGCATTAGTTATATATCAGATATACTAGACCTATACCATACTGTACTAGACGTTAGTCACTGAAAGATGAAACTAGAAAATCCAACATTACAACATAATTTATTCAGTACACACTTATTGAGTCCTTACTGTGAGCAAACAGCGACTGGAAGAAA